AATAGATTTTTGAAAAAATAAATACAAGTATTAAATCCATAATGCAGACATGGTGGATGAATGGGCGGTTGACCGGTTGTTCGGTTGGTTGTTCATTGTTGGTTCGTTGAAACATTTTCATTAAGTTCGAAATTGCTTTTATGTGGAATTTAATTTGCGAACCACCATTGGACAAGCAATAACAATGCAATTTAGCTTCCACTTACAATGTGTATACAAGTACGTGAATGGGAACAAGTAATCTGTTTCGAGAATGCAGTGGAATATAGCATAATTGAATGAGTATTAGATTGACGTAACGTATACATTGCCGAAGAGTTGATGGCAGTAGACGCCATTCCTTTGTATATGAATATGTATATTAATATCAAACCATAGATTTACCTAAGAGTAATCTATTTGGTGAGTCCTAGTAGAGACTTTATATAAATGTGCTTCAACTTTTATAAAGAAACAAGTAAAATCGTTAACTTCGGTTGCACCGAATTTATAATGCCCTTACAAAGACAGAGGATTCTATACAAAAACTTGATTTTGACCGTTCAGATTGTACGGCAGCTATGCGCTATAGTCGTTCGATCTAAACAATTTCGGAGATTGTAGCGTTGCCTTGGACAATAATTCATGCCAAATTTCGTGACGATATCTCGACAAATACAAAAGTTTTCCATACAAGGACTTTATTCCGATCGATCAGTTTTTATGGAAGTTATATGCTATAGTGGGAATAGGTTATATACATGTGCGAAATTTCAGATCGATACCTCAAAAACTGATGGACTAGTTCGGGTATATACAGACAGACGGACATGGCTAAATCGACTCAGCTCGTCATGCTAATCATTTGTGTATAGAGAGGTTCTCCAACTCTACCTTCTGGGTGTTACAACCTTCGGGGCAAAGTTAATACACCCTATTCGTTTATAAAAATAAATATATTATCTTATTTCGTAAAATATTTTAAAAAAGCGTATCTTACTATTTCATCGCCTGAATATTTCGAACGCGTTGTGAGTTCTTGCCTTGTTTGAAGAGAGAGTTTATCGTAGAAAGAAATTATATTGCATCGGTGTACCTTGTAAAGACAGTTGAAATAGATTTTCTTTTCTTGGACAGCTAAGTACTCTACTTTTCAATATTACACATTTTCTAGCTAGGCTGAGATAGGTCAGAATGAACCAGTTACAGTATAAACAAGTAAGGAAGTTCTAAGTTCGGGTGTAGCCGAACATTTAATACTCTCGCAACTTGCAAGGATCAAAGCCCGGGAAATTACTTCAGGTATGGGCAAAATTTTATTATGTATTTAAGGAAGTATTGATCCGATTCAACCCATTTTTGACACAAAGACATACTACAAGTATAATCTAGACTTTCATTTATTTATTTTATTATATGAATTTCAATTATATATCTTACACATTGACCGATATTTTCGTCAAAAAGTCAGCTATAGGCACTGGGGTCCACATATTCAGTACCTAGGGGCTTGAGCAGTTTTGGTTCCATTTAGACAGTTTTTAGTTACAAGGTGTCATACTTTAATAAATTTAATATGGTGTTATATGGGAAATAGGCGTGGTTGTAATCCGATTTCGCCCATTTATCGCGCTTTTAGTAATTTTTAACAGAACCGTTGTATGGGGAGTAGGCAGGGTTTTCATCCGAGTTCAGCCACTTTCACACTGTATATAGAGGTACTAAAAACATTTGTTCTCAGTGATTTTTTAGCTGTAGCGGTTTAGGAAATATGCACATTAAATCTATTTGTTTTTGATTAATGGCGTCCCATCTGCAAAACCGTCTTACGGTACCAAGAAACATGTGTACCAAGTTTCATAAAGATATCTTAATTTTGACTCAAGTTACAGCTTGCACAGACGGACGGACGGACGGACAGACGGACGGACGGACAGACAGTCACCCGGATTTCAACTCTTCTCTTTATCCTGATCATTTATATATATACATAACCCTGTATCTAACTCGCTTACTTTTAGGTGATACAAACCACCGTTAGGTGAACAAAACTATTATACTCTGTAGCAACATGTTGCGAGAGTATAAAAATCTTTAAGTAACAAGATTCATCTCGATGATAAAACCGCTGCTAATTTTACTTGTAAACTGGTTTTCCCCTGTTTTAAATATTTCATCCTTAACTAACAAATATTTGTATATAATAAAATCTTCTTTTATTTGGTTTCAACACTTTAAAAAACTTTAAATTCCTTCATCGCAAAGCCTATATTTCAGGATTGAAGAAAAGAGAGCAGTGGAAAGACAACATTATCACAATTACTCCTCCGATCTTTGCCGAAGAATGTGGTAATATGAATAAAATATAGGATTACGAGAATATAAAAATTTAAATTCAAATGTTGAAGAGTGCTTTGAAGATATGTTTCACGATTGTTCGGTTATCATATCTTAAAGCTCCAGATAGCGTTTTATCCATTCTCTCTCCTACTACAAAGCTAGAATTTTATTACCAGAAGTCTAATGCTGGCAGGTGGGATATAATTGTGTTAAAAACTTTATATATGTACATATATTTTACTCCGCATTCATTCCTTCATTCATTGGAAGGGCATCTCATTTGAAATCGATACTGAGATGAAGTGTTTGAATTAAGCCAAATTCGTAGTATAAAATTTATTTTCTTAATGACCGATGCTACAACTTCTTTAATTTTTTTTTTTGCATTGGCATCTACATTCAGCAGCGTTTCGGGAGCAAAACATTCAATGAATTTTGAAAATACCTGGGGTTCGCAATTTGTGAAATGAATTTTAAGTGAAAATCTGCGGGTGGTTTTGTTTGTTGCCACCATCGAGCAATGCGACAATACGACACAAAAGCCAACAGCTAAAAGCAACAAACAAACACCAAGCCAATCAATCAGAGCAATGATCAAAAGCGCCAAGAGCAAAACGAATCAGCCTACTCCAATTGCATACAAAAACTGCAAGTAATCACCATTAACTGGTTGGAATGCACAAAATCTCAAAAAATCCACGTGAAACGAATTCGTTTCATTTTTAGTACGATTGTTGATTTAATTGCTTGACTAATTGAGAGATTTTCTTTTTTTAATTCTCTCGAGGCCGCAGCTACGTGATCGCTACCAATCGATTGCAGCGAATGATGCGCCGTGATCCATCGGCGAATGGAACACTTCGGCTGCTTATGGTTGATCCTTAGCGTCAACTAAAGTGAAGTATCACATGGTTTTGTGAACCCCCACTTGGCACTCCAGCCGTCACTCACTTATGCAATTGTTCGTCTTGTAATGACTTGATTTTGATGTGAAGTTGTGGTGAACTTATTCGGCACATGCACATCGGTGCATACATACATATACGCGAAGCTGCTGATTGCTGGCCGTGTTGATGATGACTCGATTGCATCTCATAGCTTAACCCATTTTTGGAGCCAATGAGTCCGGCAAAGCGGCGACACAGGCATTGCCGCACCAAAAAGGTTCCACACAAAAGGTGGACTGCAACAATAAATACATAAGTAAGGCTTTGCAACAACGCGGTGGCGTTTTATTTATAAAATCTTCCATTCGTGTATGAGTAAGTCGAATTAATTAACTGCGCGCTGCCGCAAAATCGCCGCACAAGTTGTCGCCAAGTGACACGGCCGCCAACAACAGCAGGATCTGCTGCGGCAGTTTTAGAGTTCGTGTTGTTTTTGTGTTTTTTTGTAACTGCCGGATTGCGCTTGATGTCTTGTTAGACAAGCGGAGGACACACAGAAGCAAAATTTCACCACTAACAACACCACGACCACGATTCCTTCGTCCATGCGCGAGCGTAGTCCATTGGCTGAGTTCACATTTCATTGAGAAAATAACATTGGTCACGCGGCACGTAATCTCACCTCCACTCGCCAGCGCTTGCTCCTCCACTCCACCTGTTACGCGCTACAGAAATGACGTACGCGGAACGTAGTCTACGAACAAATCGTGTTCCGGCTGCCAGCGCATGACCGATACATCGGCTATATCACCAGCCATCGAGAGTTTTTGGTGCAGTGGTTTGGCGCCAGTGCAGCAACAACTATCACAACAATTGGCTCACACACAGATCGCAATTTAATTGCAAAATCTAAATGTAGATTTATGTAAATTTGTGAATTCCCTCATACTGCCCGCTTCCATGTGACATTTTGTATACCGGTGGACTAATGTGAGAGCCGCAGCTTAAATCGTGTGCCTGGTGTGTGGCTTGATTACTGCAAAAGCTTGGGAAAACGTAAGCATTTCCCCTGAGAAAAGAGTTTGCAAGCTGAATTCTCGCTGCGTACATTTTGGTCAATGTATTATTGGCCGTGGGCACTTCTTGAGTTTTTTGCAGCAGTAAACAATTAGTTGGCATTTCGTATTAACAACTTAATTAATACAAATTCCTAGTTAGGGCATACAAGATTTCTCCAATGAATGGAAATGTGCACGAATTTATTGAATTTAGCTACTTACGCTGCTGCGATCGCCATACTTGTGTGAGCTGTAATGTGCCAACAATCCGATGAGGTTTTGAAAATCGATAATGCCTTATTGAAAGTTTTAAAGAAATTTTGAAGATTGCTCGTACAGATCTGATCAGACGAGCCGCAGTGGATTTTTTAGTTCGAAAATTTCGTAAGAAGCTTTAAACATGCGAATACATAAAGATTTTAATTTCATTAATTTAATTTTAATTAATTTTGTACTTCGAAAGCTTTTTATTTGTAAGATGAATTTATTTAAAGCCTTGCCTTATGATAAAAATGGATGATGAATATTTAGTATTATGACGATTACATAAATTTTTTTAAATTTTTTCTGGTCCAACGATCCCATTTCGAGTGGATTGCCTTGGTCTTGATCTAGAAAAATTATATTATATTGTTGAAATAATTAGAATTAAGCATTATTTTTATATTTTACATTTATTTTTATTCTCTGAATTTTTTTTACAAGCATCTAAACTTTTCTTTTCTTCTTTTTTCAGGATCCATTTACGGTAAGTTAAGACCCGAATAAAGTTCCTATATTGGATATCCACGTTTATTTACAAAAAGGTTACAATTATAATAATCTTGCAACATCGATTTACAATTTCAAAACATAAAAAAATATCGTAACATTATTTTCTAATCAAATCAGGCCAAAATTTTTCTCGTCACACTGAAAACATTTCACCGAGTTGCATGCGTTCTTTTGCAGCAGTTTATTTTGAATTAGTTACAGACATACTGACTAATTAATTAACTTGTGCATTATATAAAAAATTTATAACAGTTACCATATATGCAAAATTTATAAATTTCTCTTCATGACTTTTTCATTTGACTTCTTCTTCTCAAGATTACACAAAGCACTGTATATGATATTAGTATATTAAGTTCGCCACCAAGTTTGTAACACCCTGAATGAAACGTCGGAGACCTTATAAAATATATATACAAATGAACAGCGCGGCGAGCTGATTCGATTTAGTCATGTCCGTCTGTCTATCTGTCTGTATATACGCCAACTAGTCCCTTACTTTTTGAGATATCGATCTAAAATTTTACACACGTTCTTTTCTCCCAAAGAAGCTGCTCATTTCTCGAAACTGCCGATAGTAGTTAGTATAGCATATATCTGCCATAACATACAAACTGAATGATCAAAATCAAGTTCTTGTATAGAAAACTTATTTATTTCACAAGATATCGTCACGATATTTGGCTTGAATTATTGTGCAAGCCAACGGCACCATCAACCGAACAAACTGTTCAGATCGAATTAATATAGCATATAGCTGCCACTTAAACTGCTTTTTTTATTTATGAAGGCTATTATGGCTTCGATGCAACCGGCTCACGCTTTATTTTCCACCTTTACCTATAAGGTTTTTGATAGCTCTTAAAATTTTTCTCGTCTCGTTGACTTCTCTATCCTTCGCCCTTATCCCGATACACATAAGCATTTGAGTTATGTGAAGCCGGGCAAATTTCCATCACCACAGACGATTACTTCAGCAGGAATCCTTAACCCAAATTGTCCACTAGAGTTTCTTAAGTCACTGTGGCCAAATACCCACCGTTGTTTCTTCTCTTCGCTTGATACCAATAGGAAATATAGATTGAGAGATTTTACCTTTATAAGAGGTAATCTTTAGCTTAACTTTAAGTCGGAAATAATGTATAATGTAGATAATCACTTGCTTCTAGACCTTTCAATCTAGTTCTTTAACCCTTATCGCATAAATTTTGGCAGATATCGATATACAAAAATCAAGTATGAATAAAATTATTGAACATTGTCAAAATTAAATTCATAAACTCTAGCAGTTCTTTTTTTTTTTGACTTAAGGTTTAGGTTCCTTACGTGCTTATCCTTGTTCCAGATTTCGTCAAAGCTCGGAAGCAATAAATCAACAAGCATGACGTCACAAGTATAAAGTTACAACAAAATATTTATTGTTGACTTGAACTTAATTGCATAGAATATGTTTCGAATCACGCCTTAGGCGCTTTAACTGTAACTTATACCACATATGAATAACCGCTATACAACAGGTAGAACCCACTGTGTAATTTCTGACATGACTAGAGTTATAAAACATAGCTTAACAACTTAATAATGCCACAGTGCCACGATGCCATCACCTGTTGAGCTGGCGATGAACAATTGCTGAGCCGCTTGGCGATCATTCTATACACACATAGTATAGTTAAGGCACATGGAAAGCCTGTGCTATGCTGCAAGCTACAATTATTTCTTTTTCACCTTTCCAGCTGCCCGGTGCGAATGCTTATCGATCGCTGCGGCTGACAAATAAGCGCCCTCAACACGCCACTCTCCAATGTCCATCAACAATACCAATTGGCAGGAGGTAGTTATGAAAGCAATTAAGGATATCGAATAACGCTCAAAAAATATCAAAACTGACGCTAAGATACGTCAACCGAACTGAAGGGTAGACAGTGCGCTCGTAGCTACAAGAAACAGTCTAGCAAAGCTCTCACCTCTACAGCCACACTTGCTTGTGGTGAGAATAAATGATGACGCACAGCTGCTGATCAATAGCACGCGCTTGAAGAGCCAATAAATCATTGTGGCGATAACCTGAATGGGGCATACAAATTTTGTCAGAATCCTACCGAAATGCAGACGAGTTAAGACGAATAAAATTTCCAATGCAATAGCTGCTTGCAAACGTATTTTACCAATTGACTCTATAAGTAACCTAATTAAGAGTGGTGAGCGATGTACACCTGCCAACCGCGCATGCGCGAACAGTGGCAACAGGACAACTGCAGGACGCGCGCCTACAAAAACTGGCGCAAAAGCATGCCGAAGGCTATTATATTTGTTCAAAAAAAATTATTGGGCGTTTGCTCATTAAATATTCGCATTCGCAACAGTTCATTGTGAACTAATAAGTTCAGCAATAAAAAATTTAAGTGCACACTGAGTAAAAATAATGATACTAACAAGGATGATTAAAGTAAACAAGCTCAATTGTCGTTTAAATGACAAGTTTTGACAACTTGTAAAATGACATGGCCGCGAGCTGTCTATCGTCGCGAGATCGCCGTGCAGCGTTGAAAGGACGCGCCTACAAACGAACGTGCAAACTCGTCGACAGTCAAGTGACACATACTTGTATGTATACAGAACCATTGTTTGAGGCGTACTATATTTAGGACCCCTTCGCTGCACAATTGCTCGACTAAAATTAATAATCCGCGTAATTTGGTGATTTTTAGCCGCGCAAACACAAAGCACACAATTCAGCGGCAGCTCACCGAAGTGACCTTTTGTGGCGTCACCGTCCCCGCCAACACTGCCGCGCGTGCGTTTGTTTTGCGCTTAATATGTCATTTAGATCGTTTGCCAGCGATAAGCACGTCAGCCGGCAGTTGAATTGTTTTGGCTGATGGTTTGACGTGGTTTTGATGTTGTTAGTCGGTTCGTTAGCTTTGCGCAGCTCAGTTTCAGTATTCACTTTTACTTGTTTTCAAGTTTTTTTCTTTATTTTTTTTTGTTGGTTATTAACTACAGCTCATGAATTGGCCTAAATTATAAGTATTATTTTGAGAATAGTGTGTTGAATGCTCAAGTGGTTTTAGCCACGGTGTATGGTGCGTTAGGCGTTCCGATGTCAATGCGAAGCGGAAATGTAATTTCTAATCAATTAAGTCTTATCGCGTCAATAAATAGAAAATAATTGCTCCTCATAAGTGACAATGGCCTATGAGGGTGGCTTTCCGTTTAGCCGTAAATGATAGCTTGGAAGAAAGGTCAATGCAGTAAGAGTGTGTTAACAGCGAAAAGTACCTTGGGAATGTGCACATATTTTGACAAGAAATTATGATTTCGATCTTTAAATGCCATAATAAGTACGAGTTATTATTATTATTAGCCGGCATAATAGCCAAAGCAGTTGTTAATAATACGAGTAAATCTGTGAAAATATGTATGCTGTTGTGATTGAACTGATAAGATTGCTGCAGAGCTATAACTAGCTACAGGAATAGGAACAGGTGTTTTACGTAATTAACGGGTTTCTTTAAACATAACCGTATATTAATACCAATAATTAGGGTTATTTAGTCGCATACAAGTCTTCTACAATATTTGGTAAACGACTAGTCTCTAGTACCATATTAATTCAAAACAATTTAACCTCAAAACGTCTAGGTGTTCTTGAAAATTTAAATAAATTAAATTTTAAGCCTTTTTCTACGCATTAACTTAAGCCTATTCCAGGCCTTAAGTACTACTGAAAATATAATAGAGGTTACGAAGGTTTTCTCTACTCAGTTAGTTTAGACTGTTTCAGACCCTCATCGAGTGATTTGTGCTTTCAACAACTATATCTACAGCGCTGAGTTTAAGTGATGTTTTGAGCTGCTCATAGGTTCAAATCTTAGATAAGAAAGTTCCAGAAGTTGTATCCGAAAAACTTATAGAAAATTCAACCTACACTAAACGAATCCAAAAAGAAACTAATCCTGTAGCAAAGATTTTAGGTATCCAATATCTTCGTCTTTGTTTTTTCCCATTTCCGATAATATTTTTTACAACAACTAAATGCCTTACTTTATTAGAGAATGTTGTCCAAAATTTGTATGTAATTTGTAAAATTAATAAATAATAGGATATGCTTTTCTTGGTAACCAAATATGTTCACCTAAACTACGCATTAAAAAGTTGACAAAATATGGGAGCAGATGTTAGAGCCATCTAAGTAGAAGGAACATCTAAAATTATAAAAAGAAATATTTTTGAAGCTAGAAAAAATGTTCTTTTCTATCATAAGTAAGATTATTTATCTATCCTTGCATCTGACAAAGAATCATTTGATCCGAAATATGAATTCGAGTTTTCGACTTGTCAGTGAAAATAGGAATCTAAAATTTTTTCTGCATAAAAGCCACAATCTGTAAAAAATCTGTCATCATCGTAAATATCTGCCATCTCAAACTATTCACTGTCTTCAAATTTCGAATTTGACTCGGAATGGTCCATTTGAACTGCGCGCGTAAACGGAATCGATAAAAAAATTTCGTTGGATCGGAAGGTTATGCCTTTTTTATGTTCGCATTAGACTCCATATGTCATTAAATATTGTATTTCATTCTAAAATATATAAATTTAATTGAAAAACAATAACTCTAGTATTGGTTTTAACAAGAAAAGTGTGGAGAAGAACTAACTGATATATGCGTAATCAGTTTAAATACCTAATAAGTGGTATATTCAATATCCAGCCCCCTTCCCAAAAGTAAAATACTGCTTCAAGAAGCAATGATTTTAAAATAATTTTGAACAACGCTGCAAAGCAAAGGCTCTTGGGTACTACATATATGACTTTTTTTTAATTTTAATTGATTATGAATTAAAAATACCTTATTCATTTAAATAAATTTCTGCTTTCGAAGATTTCGCTATTAATTATAAATCATTTCTTTGCTTACTTCGTTCTTTTCATGTATCCACTGCAAACCAAACCGGCGCCAACATCTGCTTGTTCGCAAACAAATTGCTGGAAATTGACAACATCGCTGCAATGCACCGCAAACCCGCGGTTGCCATCATCAATACCAATAAATCGTCACATCAACGCCTGCAACGAACAAACACCGCAACAACAACAACCAACAAACGATCACACTCACTCGCTCACTGCGTTACAACGCTGAAAACACCTGAACATTTAATGATCGCCGATCATTTGCACCATCATTTACAACAAAAATAATGACAACAATGACACCACACTGACGTCGTTCGCTGCGGCATGGAATGACAAATGAATGGCAAACGCGCGAATGCGCGAATGCAACGGACGGACATCGCTTGCTGCTCGCCAAAATGATGGATTATCTTTAAACTTATATCTGTTTGTTGATATGCTTGTTTTCTGTGCGCATTTAATTTCACTTTAAAATGCCTTCAATATTGCAACATACAACAAAACTAATGCACAGGGTGTAAGTAGAATTTTTTGTAGATATTGTATTATATTTATTTTTTTCTTTTTCATTGCCATAGCACTACTTTAAGGGTGTTAATGTGTTGTTGTTTGTGCATGCATGTTTCATCTAATTAAAGTCTCATTAGCTTCTGTGGTTACTGCTCTATAATTAAATTTCAGCTATGTAGTGCTCTGCAATTGTTTAATGACTGCCTTTGTGTGCGCATTTCATTTAGACAAATATTTGTGTGCACTGAATTGAAATGTCTATGTTGTCGTTCTGCTATTCCGCATTCCTTCCCCTTCACATTGTATCCGTATCCGTATATGTATGTATGTATCTTTGTTCGTGCCCCATATACTAACTAATAGTTGTGGGCGTGTTGCGTCGATCATTATCTGTGGCAAATATGTGGATTGTCTTTCGTTTTAGTTCTTGTTTTTGTTATTTTTCGGGTTGAATTGCTCATTCTTACTGTAGAGTAGAGTCAATGAACAATTATGTTTGTTGTTATTTGTAGAGCGGGTGCGTCTGTCGTGATGGGCGTGAAAGCGCCGACAGTTGTCGACAATTTAGACCGCTTTGCGGTGTTTCTCTTCACATGCTAGGCTAGCGAACGCGCGATCAGTAAGTGTGATCCTAAACTACATTTTCCAAATGATGATTAATGGCTGTGGCTTGCTTAGCAACTGCAGCACGTTATTTACGTACCGTACAGTGTTTTTGAAGTTGAATCAATGAGCATTTAGAGACAATTTAAGATGGTTGTTGTATTTAAATAGCTCTTCTATGTTTTAATATTCTTAGTTGATTGACCTTGTTTTTAAGTTTCGCATTTGGAGGTAAACCATGAAGCATCGACAAACTTTCCAGATTTAATAACTACTAGTATTGCAAGCTCTTTTTCAGATACTTCCTAGTGTCAAGTATATGTTAAGTTCAGAATATTTTGCATTCTTCGATGTCACAACTCCGCCACAGATTAGTATATTGGACGCCTCTTTCTCTCAACATGCTCTCCAAATAGTTAGTAACTTACTTACCAGCGGATTTTTTCTTGTTTCATCAAACTCTGCGCAAATCTACTTGATTGGTTTACAGATGCGTACTTTGCTTAAATTATAAGTGAAGTTTTATTTTAATTGTACCAAGCGGACTCTGTAAAGTCTTCGTCTCGAGTTTGTCAAGGGAAGTTTGTTATCCTTTCTATTCTTGTGGACGAAAAACTAGTGTTGTGCGGCGCTAGCTTTACTTTAACTGAGATTTATTTAAGGCTTTAGAAATATCAGAAACCTACCCTGAATGTCTGTATGAATAGAAGTCTCTTTATATTTTCATCGTTGTTCGGTAGTGTTGTACAGGTCCTCGTTGAGCATTTTTTCTTCGTAGAAAAGCATGATATATAAGAATGGATCTTAAGCTTCTTAAAAAAACATACTTAACCGATTATCTATTCTGAACCCGCAATATAGACTGTGGTAATAGTATCCTTGTCTACATTACCGACTTTAAAGACACTTACAAAACATAAGCCAAATCCTTGATGGTGAGAGCTTTTTAAGGATCTGACTATCGCCATGGTGTCTCTCGCCTAATTATTATACCCTAAACAGGGTATATTAGATCCTATAAAATATATACATATATAAATGTTCAGCGTGGTGAGCTGAGTTGATTCAGCCATTTGCGTCTATATACACAAGAGCAAGTCTATCAGTTTTTCATATATCGATCACCAAAGAAGCTGTGTATTGTTTAAATCGGATCACTATTTTATCTAATTATCGAGATCCTAACTATTTCAAAATCTTGACCACCGGAAATGTCCTTCTAATATGTATATTAAGTTAAAATACCTTATAATATATTTATTATAGTATCCGCTTAAAAAAGCTGAGAAGTTTTTTATAAAGCTTTAATAAACATATGACTGACTATAGCCCTTCTTCGCGTATAATTTTTTTCTGTTATTTTATTAAGTATTCTTAATAATTCTTAGTTTGCCAATACACTACTAAATCATAAGCCTGTAACCCTTGTTTCATATGAAGCATAAACATTTCCCTCCAATGTGTGAATGAAATCCTCATATTCACCTTAACATTACCACTCCTGTATCCACTTTGCATTTAAGGACCCGTAAACTTTCTCAACTGTATGCAACAACGCCTTTGTATGACATTCGTGCAACGGTAACCACGAATAAACCAACACTGCAAAGCAACAAATAACCGCAGGCACATTTCTTATCAGCCAAATATCAAATTTCGATCGAAAACGCCTTCGAGCGACTTTGCATCAAACTGACAACGGCAAACCTTCACAACTGCCACACAACCAATGCCCTGGACCCAATGACGACGGCAACAACAAATTTGATATCAACGCCGATTCACGCGAAAAGTAGTTACCACAAAGCGTTTCCCGCAGCGCATAAATAAAGCAGAAGCCTGCCACTTACAACTTACAGCTCCCTATTTACCACTCTTCAGCCAACTCCTCCAATTTTAGCTTAGTCCCTTTACATAGGCTCGACTTGACACGAGTGTGTATGTGTGCAAAAGGTACGAACCACACACATCCCAACGGTGACGTTGGATATCGCATGACCCTCATTATCATACTTGGCACCATTAAAGCAATTTATTTCCGACGCTGCTCATTTTCCTTTTTCACTTCCACTCTTGACTTTCATTGCACTTAAGCTTGCATTTTTGTTGCTTTGAACTTGGCTTAAATATGCGGCAAGGACATTTATTATTGCAAGTACCTCATAAATACATCTGCCACAACAACAAAACCAAAAACAACAACTGCGTCCAAAACAAACGTCCCCTGGCCAATTGAAGTCACTTGGCTTCACTTCACTTCTGTGGCAACTGTCCATCCACTTTGTTGTCTGTCCGCTGGGCTACTCTCAAAGCGGCATTTGCATTGCCGTGTGAGTGAAGGATGTTGTTAACAGGATCATATTGCCTGTAATGGTAACTAAAGTACCTCAATAATTGTAGCATTGCCCCAACAACGAGCCTTGCAACCTATCCGTCTGCGGCATTATCTGCCTCGCGTAATATGGAGCTACTTACAAATGTGCATTAGCAGATAATTACAGCACACATACCTGCCTTTATTGGTTGCGATCGAATACAGGCAAAACACATACATTTCACCTGCGTTGTATCCCTTTCATATCCTGACTAATAATGAGTTTGACTAGAGTGTACTGCTGTCGCTTTGTTTGTCGCCGATTCGAAGTTTCGCTCGTAATATTTCTATTGTATTAATTATTAATATGCCAGTGTGTGTCCTACGTCATGGAAAGTGTGCCAAAAATCAAACTTTCCTTTACGTTCCGTTATTCCCGAAAAGTTTCGTAAACCCATCGTCGAATTCGTTTCTACAATATTTCAAGATAAATCAGAGTCAATGGTAATCCAAGCAATTGACATAAAATATTTCATCCCCTTCTTTTTTTCCACCAGACCCATCCACCTAGACTCTTAATTTAGATCGATTAATCTCGCTGACTTCAATACAACATTCCATTTGTAACCGATTCTATAGGATACCGCAAATAGTCCTCTTAATATATTCATAATTGTTCTTTGACCCACTAAATTTAACGGACATAGGTTCACTGTAATGAAAACCACACAGATTTGATTTCGTATATTACCTTTGACATAAAAAGGATATTTTTACCTGCGCTGGCAAGTAGGTGTAAAGAGATCCCACAAACTCTCCCAACTAACACAGAATCAGTCTTCTAATGTGTAAGTCAAAACCCTCTTAAAACATATGTGTAGATTTGTTTTTTGTTTGGCTAAAGTCAAGTTAAGTTTTAGACACGTTCCTCATATTGATGTTAAAGTCAGTACCGTTGCTTGGTTGTCTAAATGAATAGCAGTTTTCTCCATATTCCCGTCTCTCTCTTTATTCAATACTGCTTGGTAGATGGCGCTAGATATTTTTTCTCATTACATACAAATTTTTCAGAAACCTCTACTTTGTCGACAGTAATTTGTTTTTTTTTTTTGCATTTCAAGCACTCTCAAAATTGTTATTCCAAGTTAGTGTAACCAGATTGTAGAGGTCTCTATTAATCATATCTAGATGACCATTTCCATAT